TCACCTACACCTGAGTATCCAATTGATCCAAATGAACCAACATACTGCTTGTGTAATCAGGTATGAAACTGTTCTTTAACCCTTTACACCTTAACATCAGTTTGCATATTCTCCATACTGTTCTCTATACATTTTTTAAGGTGCTGACAAGGAGAATTTGTTCAACAATCAAGTACTTCTTTAGTTGGTGATCATTTCCATTATTCTTGTGACCTCAATGTGTGATTCAAGGATAATATTGTAGGGAGAAATTAGATGCTGGTCACTGTTAGGATCAAAAGGTTAAGTTGATTAGTCTGCACTGCCAGGTATTTTTTGTGTACTATGAAGCCATGAAAATGAGTGTCAGGACCACTTGTGTACACCACTGCTGGATAGATGTCAAGTGTATGTAAACAATGGGATTTTAACTCCCACAAGTGACTAAGACAGATCTTCTCCTTACACAATCAACACAATGTCAAGCAAGCAAGTGATTAGGGGATTATTAGTTAATTTGCACATCTTAATTTACAAATGAGGGTTGCAAAAGTCACCAGAGAGGATTGGACTTGGAATCTACCAACAGTTTGCACTACTTTATTCCAATCAAATGTTGACGTAAAATGACAATTTTAGTAGTCACCTGTCAAAAATGAATCAGCAAAATTACATAATTGCCAACATTAAAATGACACCTTAGGACCTTTGGGTCCTAGACAAAGAAAAAGGAAGCTAATTGCAATTCAGTAAGGCGTTATTCCTGGCTCACAAGGTTTTCCCTTGTATTTTAAAAACAAAAACGTTTAAAACGTTTCTGACATAAAACAAGGGCAGCAGAGAAAGATTGTTTTTCCTTCTGCTCATGCCCAGTCTCTCAGTGGTTGCTAGCTATGATTGACTTACTGAATAAAGGGCGACAAGGATTCCCACACTAATTCGAGCTAACTTCGTATCAGAGGAGTGCAGAACATTGGTTGATCTAATTCAAAATTCTTCTAACTAACATGATATGAATTGTATGGCAGACAGTAGGGAGAATTACTTATGAGATCTTGGAAGTAAAGGGTTAAGACTTCATTTTGATAAGCTGTTATTTTACTGTAACACAGAATTGATATGGAGAGCGTTGCCTTGCCAATCTGTGTAACTAACTTTATGATGTTTCTTTCTGTACAGGTTTCATTTGGAGAAATGATTGGGTGTGATAATGAAGAGGTAAACCTTTACTTCTATTATATTTATGTGACATTTTTGTTAAATTTGATTTTAAAAAATTCAAGAAATGGTGGGAGAGACTAGAATCACTAGCTTTTTAATATTATTTTATCAAAGAAACCTGATGTTTACTATTCTTTTACCACTTTTTTCAACAGTGTCCCATAGAATGGTTTCATTTTCAGTGCGTGGGACTCACTACCAAACCAAAAGGAAAATGGTAAGTTTGTCTTTGATAGAATGTCTGCCGTTGTAGGCTTAGTTTCCAATCACTCACTTAAATTTCACGACGTTCATTTGGTACAGTTTGGTCAATAAATGCTCTCATTCAAAAAATCTATCCTCCCTCAAAAAATTTTAATAAATGTATTCAAGAAAAACAATGAAATCCACGGCTACAATACATAAGGCGTGCCAACCCCTTTTGTGTGCCTTTATGAAGAACAAATATTCGGCAGTTTTCCGTTTTCTATCAAGATTCAAAGTTTTTCAACTTTCTTACCCCTGAGATCACTAGCTCTTCATCTCTTGAATCCTTTAAGAAAAAAAGTTAAAATTGTTATTTTCAGTAACTTCTAATACAACTATGGACTACAGACTATTATATGGCTTGTTAACACATTATTTTGTTCTATCTGTTATCTACTACTTGTGTGGGAACCTAAGCTTCCAAGCCTTAATAATTGTCATCAGGTTTCCGCGCTAATTTTGTTCTTCATCAATTTTTGCAAATTGTAGTAATATTATATATATTGGCACAATAAAATAAAAGGATAAAATTGATGAATAAGGGTGGTTGGGAAGGGGCCCTATTACTACCCATCCAAGCTTGTGGTTGCCATATTCCTGCCAATAGCGTTGCTCCATCTTTCTGTATATGAACCCCACACAACAAACAATTGCTGTATTTGCTCTGATGAAGAGGCTAACGCTCGAAATGTCAGCTTAAAAAACTCTTTATGGTGGCCAATTTGTATCATCAACTCAGTTTATTAAACCAAATTATCTGAACTGTGGACAGTTACCTGTTTGTAAAGATGGCTTAAATTGAAAGAAAAGAAAGTCGCAGCTCTTAGGAATTGACTGAATCCGTTGAATATTGGAATTACGGATATCACTAACTGCCCCTGCTTTCTTTCAAGGTACTGCCCCAAATGCACAAACGAACGGAAGAGAGAGAGAAGCTGTCTGAGATAATCGTCTGGATTGTCTTTGTGAATACTGCAGAATTTGAACTTTTTATTTGACTCCTAGAGGAATCCTTTGAAGAATATTCTTCTCTAAGCCATCAGCTGCAATTAAGGAAAACTTCTTTATCTTAGAGAAAAAATTTAGACGTTTTCGATAGTCAATTCAAGGATGTTACTTTACTTCGGATAACTAAATCATCTTGTGATAGAATTATATGCAGTTCTTTGGTTTTAGTTAGCGTTATTTGTATCTAGATTTCTATAGTATTTATTTAACATTGACTTGCACTTGTTTTATCACTATGAAAATACACGTAGATAAATTTGTAGTGTTATTAAGTATTTTAAGATATAGTGCCCATCGAAATAAGTTCATGTCTTTACGTTAATGGCATCTTTGGAACTTCTGGCGGGAATAGTTGAAATCAAGCGTTTGCGCGACCTTGCGGTGAGCGCGGGCAAAGGAGGAAAGCGCGGGAAAAATAGGCCGCTAAATGGCAAGCGTTGAAAAACAAGAGCACCAGACTTCACCAGGCCATCATTTGCTGAGCTTATTAAAGGCTATTGCAGAGCTAATCACAGAAAAAACAAAATGCCTACTCGGTTAGTGTTGTTTCTCCTAAAAGTGATATCTTAAATTATAAAGTTTGTGATGTGCGGCTTGTTTCAGGGTCGACCTTATGTTGGTGAAGAAGCTTAGTTTTTGGCGAATATTCCTTTATTAAAGCTATCATGAGTTCAAAGCCGTAAAGACCACGTCCATTATCGTGTCAAGACTCTTGACAAGGGGTGACCCCTTGGTTTTGATCACATGTGACAACATCACAGTCATGCCAACCACCAATAGTCCTTTTGTTCTCTGTTCTTCTCATGAGACTTAAGGGATGACTTTGAAGTGATACCACGTGATACTTCGGAGCGCTGGTAGCTAAAACCGTGGGCTCAATTGTCGAGCCTTTTTTTCGGGATGGCTGCCGTAAGCTCTCGCTCGTTCCTACCAGAACTGTTTGCTTGGTGCCCATACTGTTTTGTATCGGAAAGCAATTATATGTAATATTGTAAATTGTAAAAATTAGAAGTTGTTTGGTAACGTGAAATATAACACATGCCTCAATGAAATGTTTAATTTTTTCCTGGCTTTGTTAGTATTAATTCTTAACCTTCAGACAAGATGCAGTTGCTAGCCCATGTAAACTGGTGAGGCTTTTTTTTCTTTTTGTGTTCTTGCTTAATTACTTTCACTGTGTTAACCAGTTCGAGAGTAGCTAATTGTCATACCATGTTAAATTTAATTAGACCAGGTAAGGGGGTGTCGCTGGTTTTACACTTATATATGGATGTTTACTGCACGCAATGAAAGTGAAAAAATATTCTTTGTGTCTTTAATCAGTGCACAAAATACGATAAACATGCACAAATTAACCAATTCATAAGAGTGTCCGATGATAATTGAGGTCAAGATCGTTGTTAAAGTTGCGTAAAGGGCGGCAGTCGGAGTAGACAACTTACTTTCTTACGATACTTTGAAGATAGGGATCAATCTAGTTTCGAGGCATGCGATTTTACTAATTATTTTCTATTATTTTTTATTCTTCTATCATTATTTTTTGGTTGTCTATCGTCGAGCCGCCGGGTAAAGATTTTCAGGCAGGTGTTACTCAATGAAGCAAAGTATGCAACGCGCGAGTAGTGTTCACACTTGGTATTGCGAGTGGAACTCATTAAATGGATTTATTAATATCTTGAAACGCCCATGAGACTTACCATTCGACACATTAAGTAAGGTGATGAAAAATTTTAATGATTTTTAGAGAAAAAAAAGCCAGATCGTCAATATTATTCAAGGTGTCTTTCTTAGACTTCATAACCATTTGTTATCCGATGTCGAAAACTTAAAGGTAACTTTAGTGTTTTATCCACTATTGATTTTAGCAGTTTTGGAATCTAAAGCTATAATGATAAGTAAATCTCATTTTTGCTTTCTTTTTTTTTTTTTAGTTTCTCCATGATGAATTTTTTTGCTCGCTCATAAAAGGCCGGCGTAGCTTGCTGGTTCTTGTGGCATTCAGTATATCTCGTCAGCTTGTATGTTATGTTTACCCATTTCAGGTTCAGGGGATTTGTCAGCTTTATCTTTTGTAAATTATACGTAAATGTTCACGTGAATAAGTGGAAATTTGAAATAAACAGTTCTCTAGTTTATTATCCCATGACCTGAAATGGGTAAACAAAACAGAAAAGCTAAAAAGGTCTATTTGATGCTCAGCGCGTGTGCGTTTTTGGCGCGAAGATTTATAACCTACAACCGACCTCTACATCACACACAGCACACATAATGCACCTGCATTGATAAAGTAGCCGATTTATATCTAATCGTGATAACATTTTCGTAGAAAAAAGCAAAAACTGAGAGGAAAAAGTCAACTGTTCAATCGATTCTAAAAATTACATAAAGATATATATGCTACTGCCGTTTGCTTTTGTTATATGTTAATTCATTCTAATTTAGCTTTTTTGTATAACTTTTCCGCATATTAGGCGTATACGTATACGAAAAAAAATTTGTTTTAACATTCAACAGGCGATGGCTCATCTTTGGAAGCTCCTCTCGTTGCTTTTCATGGAATTTCAGTGGTTTGTTTTATCTGCTGCTTCAGGATATTTGGGTGAGTAAAAATGACAATAACAAAAACAAGTTTATGTGATTAACCAAGTGGACGTTGAAGATACAGGGAAAACCACAAAATACTCTATTTTATTATGAAAAGCTTCTTAGATAGATTCAAGACACACGCTTAATTTTTTTCCATGATATTTTACAAGAAGTTTCATTGAACTTCCTTGCTCACGTGTTCGCTCGCTAACTCATTGACCCAGGGAATCTGGGAATCTTATCAACCATTTTAAGGACTTAAAATTAATAAATGACACAAAATAATTAAACATCATCAAATTATGGACTGATTATGTTTTCGGGTCAGATATTTTGACTGTAGCTTAGTTACGTAGCATGTAAAGCATTTGTTTCTGTCCCATGATTGGCGATAACCAAGAATTAACTTAGATTTGATCAAGACAGAATTATTTTGGTCTGTCTTCAGATTTTTTTTTCGGTTTTAGGCCGCCTTTAGGAATCAGGTTTGCTCTCATGTCGGGATGTAACAGTAGTCAAAAAACTTCGCTTCTTCGAAGCTCTTTTACCTGGACTTAAAGCACGTTACCATTTGGCAGAGCCGGCTAACCATCCAAAACTTCCAACCGTTTTCACGGTAGAGAATTTTATTGTGTGATAAGAACTGTTCGACAAGATAAACCGTTCACATAAATTTTGTCCAGCGTTTTAATCATAGATTTTTGTGAAAATTAAGAAAATGTGCAAAAGATACAGGGCTCATTAGTCAATTGTAACAATAGAATAGATGTTTATTCAAATGCACTTGAATAGATGTATCATGTAATTACAAACGTAAATCAAAGCAGGGATGACTCTATTGTTAACAACAAGAGATGATTGGTGGATTCAGGTCATGTGACACTACCGTTTCCTAATCAGTGATACGGCAGTGTCACATGACCTGAATCTACCAAACAGGGTACGTTATATCCGTTTTCGTCCGAAAACTCACCAGAGCCACATGTCCATGAGGGTGGAGGTCTATGGATGCAAAGGTACTGTTTAAAAAGAGACTTCATCAGAATCCTTACACGAAGTTTTATATGAGTGCTCCATTGCCGGCACCAACTAATCTCGTACCCAGACCCTACCGTGTAACTAGAATGTAACAAACGCTTGACCGTGGAAAGTCTGGGTACAAGATAAGGCACGGGTCATCGTTAATTTTGCAACAAATGTTCCATCAGATTTAATTACAAAAATTATATATATATCCGGCATTCTGAAGTAGGATTATACTCTCGATAATCCATTTGTGTAAAGTTATTTTGTTCCTGCTTAACCCTGTAACCCCAAAGAGTGACTAGCATCTAATTTCTCTTTACAATATCACCCCTGAATCAAACGTTAAGGTTGTGAGAAAACAAGGAAATAATCATCACCTGAAGAAACTCTTGATTGTTAAACAAATTCTGCCTATCAGCACCTTAGTAAATGTATAAAGAACAGTATACATGGAGAATCTGGATACTAATGTTAGAGTGTAAAGGGCTTAAGGCTTTGCTGCTCAAACCGAGTTATTTTCTTTTCTGTTGAAAAATGTCAACTCATCGCTACTCACATACGTTATGCTGAATGAATAAAGGGATAATTTTCTTTTCAGAGTGTGGTGCTGCGTCGGTGAGTGTGGGAGGGGGGGTGGATATTACCGGATTATTCCTGATTTGATAATGTTAATTGGCCTCATAGTTTTCTAAAGCTGAAATGGTGTCCGACCAGACTAAATTATTAGGAAGTTTAGCCATTGCAACCACTAGAGATAGTTAACACATCCAGTCATTCGAAAAATCCACAATAAAAAGTTGATATCGTTTTTCGATCGATGTCCTCTTCATTGTTGCTGTCCTGATTGCTGAAAGTCCCCAACTACTGTACATCGGCAGGTATATCGTTTTTAATCTAATCTGCCTCCCACCCAGTCTGTCCCGATTACATTTGCAGATTGTAAAGGAGCTCTCGGCATGGAAAGCGGAGCGATCACTGACTTACAGCTAAGGGCTTCTTCAGAATATAACTCTCGGCACTCCGTTTTAAGTGGTAGACTAAACGTAGAGTACCAAGAAGGGGCGTGGTGTGCTGGAACCCATGTTGACAACCAGTGGCTCCAGGTTGATCTACTGAGCAGGCACAGAATAACAGGAGTTGCCACGCAAGGAAGGACGGGAAGGCATAGGCAGTGGGTGACAAAGTACAGGCTCCAGTACGGTGATAATGGAATGAACTTTCAATATTACATGGAGCATGGAAAAACGACACACAAGGTAAGGTTAGGTCGCGTAATTGATAACTTTTTACTTCGCAACATACGTAGGGAAATGATTTCGCATTAACGAATATATGTTTTAATGTATCTTGGGTAGAAAGAGCAGAATCTATTCAAAATGAGATTTGACCGTAGCCACAATTTCCGTCCAACAGCATGTTTGACGGTTTAGCCAT